CCTTTTTTATTCTTTTTTTCTTTTTGCTTTGTGATCTTTCGGTATCCTCCCTCTTGTTTTGTTATGCATTTTAAAATGATAGGGAACAGTCAGAAAGGGAGCTTGCATTTAGATTAACCTTCTTTAAAGCATCATAGTATGGAAAGAAATACACCAAGTGCATTAACTGTCTACAGGGGTATTATTGATGGCTTCACAAGTAATCTCAAAAGATTATTACTAACCATACCTGATTTTTCAGGGGAAATGAGATATATATTTTTTGTTACTATTATTATTGTTAATGTTATTACTATTATACATTTACTACAGCATTATTAAACCATTAGATCCTGATGCTTCACATCAGTCACATTGCCCAAAATATGGCTGTTAGGCTTACGTGAGCAGCAACTCTGATGGGTGGGCGACTTTTGGGCAAGGATTGCTTGATCCAGATGATGATAGACTGGTTTCCTTGCACACACTCCATATCGGCTCTCTAGGTAGTCCATAACTCAGTGAAAGAATAATAACAATAAGAAACATTTTGTTATTTGGGTGACTTAAAAAAGAATTTTAATATTTAATTTTCTGCAATACAACCTTGCTCCGCCAGTCATGGTAGCTAGGAATAGGATACTGAGCATGGAAATGATATCTTCCCTAGAGCTAGCATTCTTCCAGTCAAGGCTCATGGACACCATTCCACACTCATTTATCAATGGAAATAGTGCAAAACCCCCTTCCTAATGCCAAATGAATGGCAAATCTCTCCCATCACCCCAGGCTTCAGCAAAAATGCTCACAACAGCAAGTTCACATCACCTGGCACACAGCTCATTTTTCCAGTGACAGCATGTTCACATCACCTGCCCCTCAAGCCAGATTTTTTCATGACATGATGGTCATACCATCCGGATCATAGGGGTTGATAATAATTTTAGGAATGAGTATAGAAACCTTGCTTTTTAGAAATTCAAGGAATTGGGTAAAGAAATGAAGTAATGTAAGCCTAGTTGTTGATTTACATGGGGGAGTGTAATATTTGTAAGATTACTTCAAATTTTCTTATGACTTTAAATTATTCCTCTGTATTTCTAGTACACATCCGACCTGTTTTATGAGGGCCGTCTGGTAGCCAGCGGTAAACAGACAGCACATCCCAAATTCCATCCACTGACATTCTTCACAGCGCGGGGTGAGGATTTCCAGGATCCAAATTCCACTGCATTCTACAATAACTCTGAGGTTTGTTGGAGCTTATTCCGTTTATGTGTAAAAGACTTTTTGTGTCTGGATTTACCCGTATGTAGAAAAAAATATTGTATTGAGTGATTTCACATTAAGATGAATTTATTGTTTTTATAAGAGATTTTCTGTTAATAAAGCTTTTATATATTTTTAAAACTTTACAAAGGTCTATGAAGTGTGTGAGCAAGTTGGAGAGATCATCAGCCATTGGCCAAAAAAGGAGTGGGGTCCTCTAGGTGAAAATTCCATTGGTGTCGTCACCCCATATGCTGACCAAATGGTGCGCATTAGGGCTGAGCTGAGGAAGCGAAAACTGTACAAGATTAATGTAGAGAGAGTCCTCAATGTACAAGGTGAGTGTGGGTTGGCTGTGTAAAATGTTGTTTTTGTACAAAATTTTAGTTGTTTATCTTAGGATGAACTAAAAGTCAAATAATCAGTCTTTGATTTAATACTTAATTTAAGTTTCGTGTGTGTGTGTATGTGTGTGTGTGTTTGTGTGTGTGTGAGATATATTTATATTCCTATTCCTATTCAGATATACACATAAATACATACACTTAAGTAATTCATGAGATGTCATGAGACCATAATCCTCTCCTTTATAATCCAGGCAAGCAGTTCAGAGTCATTGTGCTGTCCACTGTGCGGACACGCCACACGTGCAAGCCAGGAGCTGAAGGCTTAGACTTTGGCTTCCTCTCAAATGCAAAACTCCTCACCACTGCCATAACAAGAGCGCAGAGTCTGGTTGCCGTTGTTGGAGATCCTGTCTCTCTCTGCTCTGTGGGGAAGTGCAGGTAAGGTTGAAGTTTGGTTCCACGTATCATCATCTTAGCTGCTTTACTGATTCTCAAAAATCACTGTGTATGTGTGTGTGTGTGTGGGTGGGGGGGGGGTATATGAGGTTAGGGTAGTCCATATGTGTGCATATATGCCATTTTGATGCAAATTATGGTTATTATGATGCAGCCTGTACTAGATGTATATTCCTTTCTTCTGTATCCCCTAAAATCTTGGTGGTATCAAGTGATACCAATATGAGCATTAATACAGCATCTAATGAGGATTTGGAAAATCAGAATCCCCCAGGAAGCCATAATGAGTCTCCCTCCCTTCCTGGTTATTCCCATGTTTTAGTTCATCAATTACTGGTGCTTGATCATCTTAAACTCCTCCCTGATCTCACTACAAAATGTAACAAACCCATACTCCACATTGCATCGCCATCTTGTCCCTCAGACAACTCTAGTATCTTTTTTCGCTATTATATGTATTTGCCATAGTCGTGTGTATACATGACCTGTGCTGAACTAATCATACCACACAATCCACAAAAGAAGTATGCAACAAGGAGCTAACTAGCTCCATAGACATTACCTATCTACCCATCCATGAATAATGATTGTGAAGCTTTGCACACACCCCATGGGCACTCAGTGGATATTGATTTAGCAATTCAAATCCAAAGTCAGAAGTACTAAGGTGTATTTATGAAAGATGGAATACTGTACTGCTGCATTGGTATGGATAAATAACTTACCCTCCTTGAACAGGACTGTTTATATATATATATATATATATATATATATATATATATATATATATATATATATATATATATATATATATATATATATTGATATTGATATTGATATTGATATTGATATTAATATTGATATTTACATATATATATATGTGTGTGTGTGTGTGTGTGTGTGTGTATGAATACCATTATATTTACTTGTTTGTTTCTTACCTATTTATATTTGTATAGACTGTACATACATATTCTTTTTTCCTTTTGTGTAGTAATATTAGGTATTGAAAATTGTCATTAAAGTTATTGAACTGATGATGATCATAATGAAAAGGGATATTGCTTTTGTTTAACTTGGATGTTTTCTTGTTTATATTAACCCAATCACCCCAGTTGGTAAGAATACATGCCATCCATACAGTAATATAAGTTCATTTATTGTCTTTATGCATAGATGGCTCTACAAGTGCTTAGGCACCAAGGAGTTAGTTATTAGTCCTACCCATCTCACCTCTTTACTGTGTTCCTTGATTTTTGGAAAGCTTCTTTTGTATTATTTTAGTATCTTTAATGTTACTAATATTTTGATAACAATTTGATAACCAATATATTATTAAGAATAATAACAGTATCAATATTAATAGTATTAGAAGGAAAAAACAATTTTCTTACTATTTCAAGGAATGGGGAAATCAGACATGATCACTAGGGACTCCTTGGTATCTGAGTGCAGGTGGAGCCACCTGTATGTAACAAAATTCACAAAAAAACTATAGGGGACAGTACATAAATCTGTAGTCATTGGGTTGAATTATTTTATTTTGTAAAGCAAATGTACAAAACAGTATTTATAATTTACATTGCTTTTTAATTTACAGGAAACTTTGGGAGAAGTTTTTGCAGCTGTGTTCTGAGGCTGGGTCTCTGTATGGAATATCATGGTCAACACTTCGCTCACAGCTTGACGGGGTAGAACTGAAGAAAACATATGTTCTGAACCCATTAGCACCAGAGTTTGTCCCCCGCTGTATATATTACTCTATCCCGCCAGTGCCAATGGTACATACTATGCCTCCCTATGTAAACATGTATTCCCCTTACAACTCTTATATACCCACCTACCACATGCGCCCTATGCTTGGGCCTCAAGCCCTACCCTATCTCCCACAGCCTGGCATGCCATCCCAATGGTCTCCTGTACATTATGGTGCTGGTGCAAAGACCCCATTGGTGAGGCCAGCAGCAGCTAGGCTTGGGCAGCCTCTTATTGCATCCCATCCTTTACGGTCAGCTGTTGTCACTGCAACTCATCCCCATTACATGGATCCCCATGGATATGACTATCAGTTACACAATAACATGATATCCATGTACCCTTATCAGGCAGGATCCTTTCCCCACCGGTTACCTGCCATGCGGCACCCAGCAGAACTAGACCCCTTTACTTGTGGGGCCTTCCTACCACCCCCTTACCAACACATAAGGCCTGTGCCACAACGCGTGGTCCCTCCGATTGGATTCCGTGGCCCTTCCTTTGGACGAGCCATGTCTCTTCCCCCACCCCAGCTGGGCAGACTTACCCCACATTCAGAAGGAGAGAAGTCCTACCAGTTTCTCAATAATGTACACTTCCCAGAGCGACAACTCTCCAATCCTCCCTCTGTCATTGCCAGGCCAGTACGTTCACGAGCTGACACCGAGTCACCTATGTCATCACATTCCAGAGAGAGGTAAGTTTATGACTGGAATGTTTCATTTACAATGTAGTTTGTTAAGACTTGTGTACATGGTATGTCTTTACAATTAAATCATGCCTTTTACAAAAAAAATTCTTTTCCATCATTGCAGCTCACATTCAAGTGCAAATGATAGTCGGCATTCTTCACAGTCGCAGCCTCAACAACATTCACAGTCACACGTACATCCGCAAGTTGAGGCACAAAAGATACCGTTATTAGGACCTCATTTACAATACCAGTCCAAACCTCAGGCTCCTCCTAACATCCACATTGATCAACAAGGTCCTCCCATGCAGCAGTTGAGGCAGCAAACCAGCCATCATCAGATGATCCCTCAGCCACATCCCCATTCCAATGGAAGTGTCCCTATTGAAGATGCAGCGTTGCCCACTCCAGATGTTGTACGCAGTATTAATGAACTCATTAATGACCATTCACCAACCAAGTCTGCAAACCTCTGGGGTTCAGTTGATGTGGAATCAAATAACAAGTTGGACCTTATACAAAATAGGTGTCGTTCACCAACAGGAGAAGCATGGTTAGGAGGAAATAGCTCAAACAGTATTAAAGCTGCAAATCTGAATATGTCTCACTCTAATCCAAATCCTTGGTCAGGAACTCCTACCAGTGTTGGAAAGATTGTGACTGTTCAGGAACTTGAGGCCTCTCTACACATGAGGAAATATCCTGGTGGAAACGTATCAAGTTCAGGCCTTAATAAAGCTCCAGGGCCACTTCCCTTCAGCCCAAGGGAGCTTGAGAAAAATGTTCATATTCGAGAGAATGAGGAAGTTGGAGGTGGCTTTGGGAAAGGGGATGTTCCACCACCCCCAGGCTTTAGTAGTTTGAATAGGATGGTTGATCCCTTAGGTCGGCTGGATCTCAATGAGGGGGAGCCAGTTGGCTACCGTACCCCAAGTTTACCTCTGTACTTGAGAAGAGGGAGTCGAGAATCATCATCATGTTCTCCTGGTGGCACACGAAATGCCCACCAGAGCTCAGTTGTGGGCAGTATGCACAGCAACAACCACAGCAGTTCTCTGTCATCACTCTGGAACATAGGGAGGGAAGAGATGAATCCTGTATCCTCCCAGGGTGAGTTAGGCCTTCAGAACCTTTCATTATCTCTTGGCATTTCACCCATTGGGGCTCTTAATCCTTTCCAAAACAGCCAAGACAGCAAAACATACGCAGGAGTCGTCAGGTCATCTCTCCAGTCTTCAGACTCTGAGAAAGGTGAGGAGTGCGAGTATGCATTCAAAGATCTGGGTGATAAGAGGCTGTATACGTCAAATAATCATCTATATCAGCATTTCCAGTAATATTTTAACTATCTCAAATAATGACGAACCTCACCAGTTTAAGTCCATGATAAAATATATTGCGTTTACATCCAAATGATAAGAGTTAGCAAACGTTAGTGAAAGTATGCATTGAAAATACATACAAGGCAAGAACTCAGGATGTGTTAAATCAACCATACAAGTTGGATGAGGGTTTCAGGTATTCAGGATGGTTCTATAAAAAAAATTAGCACATGCACATATTATTGATGGTATGATATGACCTAATATATTTTGCCTTCTATGGTTAAATTGAATTGGTGAGATTCTACTTTTCATGTCTTATTTGCACTGTTAAATTTCATGCAGTGTTTGCCGTCAGTATTTTTGGTTCTTTTTTTTCCCCCGTAGTAATAGACTTTTGTGTGAGTGCGTCTGCGTGCGTGTGTGTCTCTATACCTGTGTCTGTGCATTTTTGCAAGCATATAGACACATGTATGTGGATATGGTATGCTTTTTGCATTTGTATGTATGCATTTGTGGAGCTTTAGATGTATACATGTATGTAATAATTATACATATATACAGACACGAAAACAGACAATGTATTTATACATACATATATACAGATGTGTAGATTGATATGTATGTGTTTCCTTTTATTATTTAATTCCACTGTTGAGTATTATGATTTAATTATGTACTATGTTAAACAGCATCCTTCATAAACAAATTTACATAAAAAAATCAAAACAAAAAAGAACAAAAAAAAAAAAAATCTAGGTAGTAGATATTGACATCTGTATATTTTTTCCTTTTGTGTATATAAGCTTCTTTCACTCCCATGGCATTACAGAGCAAAAGTAGTTTATGTTGTCTTTATTCAACTAAGTGCAATGTTGAAAGGCCTATTTGTATTCTTTGATTGTAGGTGTTAGTACAAGTAGTAGTTACTAGGTCTAAGTCGTGCTGTGCAAGACCACTGAAGACATGAATAATTGCAATGGACCAATAGGTCTGCCTTTGTACCTGGGTTTTTATACTGCCATTCACCGCCCACCCCATCCCACCCCACCTTGAGAAATGAGAATGGAATGAAATAGAAAGAAAGATGAAATGGGAGGGGGGGGGGACTTAAAACATTCATATATTTCATTTTTTTGTTGACATCTTTCTCTTGAGTTTCGTAGTTTTACAGTTTATTATTTTATCGCAATATGTATTATTCTCTCTCTCTCTCTCTCTCTCTCTTCTCTCTCTCTCTCTCTCTCTCTCTCTCTCTCTCTCTCTCTCTCTCTCTCTCTCTCTCT